AAGGAAGGAAGGAAGGAAGGAAGGAAGGAAGGAAGGAAAAAGAAAATAAAACGGAAGGCCAAATCAAAGTCTCACTCAGTTTACTAGGAACTTGAGACAGAGAGAATGCCAGTATCTATTTCTAATTAAACAGATACTAGATCCTGTAAAGTCATTCTAATTATTTTCCTGAAGGCTGCACTTTCTCTATCTCATTTATATTACTTAAGTACAGAATTGCAATTAGACCCAGACAAGATGCTTATTCTGCAGTCCCACCCTCTAATGTGTTAGCTTTCCAATTCTCTTCTAGAATGGCCAACTGCATTTATCCTAAGGACATGCAAACACAGCACTGTTAGACCTTCCTCTGATAACCAGAAGAACTTTGAAAAAAAAACTCATGTAACACATGGCAACTTCCTATTCAAAGCTCAGTCTAAAAAGCAAAACACTTATTAAAATGAGATTTTTGTCAGGCATCATCACATACACCTGCAATCCCAACACTTGAGAGGCAAAAGCAGAAGAACCAAGAGTTCAAGGATGGCCAACTTGGGCTACACTGCAAGTTCATGAACAGCCTGGACTACACAGCAAGACTTTGTCTCAAAATACAGAACACAAGCCAAGCATGGTAGTCCCTGCCTCTTATCCAAGCACACTGAGATGCTGAGGCAGGAGGATCACAAACTCAAACCCAATGTGGGCAACTTATTGAAATCATCTCAAAATAAAAAATGAAAAACAAGGGCTGCCCAAATAACTCAGCAGATTAAAGCATCTGCAAGCAGGCACAGGGGCCGGGTTCCATCACGGGGCCTGCCGTGCCACTCCCATCCCCATCCCCGTCCCTGTCCCCGTCCCCGGAGCGCGCTGACATGGCAATGGAGACTGGGCATCGGGTGCGCAACTGTAATCCCAGCTCTTGGGAGGCTGTAAACAGGCAGATCACTATGAGTGCAATCTAGTAGTGAGACCCTGAACACCCTGTAGATCCTTCCCTAAAATACAAAAAAAAAAAAAAGAAGAAGAAAGTAAGAACACAACCGGCCCATCCCCTGGGTGCACTGAGCTGGCAACCAACTCTGGGCATGGTGGCGCACACCTATAATCCCAGGGCTGAGAAGTCTGAAAACAGGAGTATCACTACAAGTCCAAGCTACGTAGTGAGACCCTGCACCAAATACATAAATGAAAAAAAAAAAAAAAAACCAGAAACCACAGCCAGGAATATAGTTCAAAGGCACAGTGCCTGCCTGGCAAGCCCAGGTCCAGAGGTCAACTCCTAGTACAAAAAGAAAAAAAGTGAACATACATGTTTCCAGTGGGGATAGTGTGTAAAACTGTAAACATATCTAGAGCACAAGGGAATGAACCCACAGGGCTAATGGAAAACTCACTTAACAACAAACTATGTAACGACAGCACAAAAGTACATAGGTATTAGCCATGTGTGGCAGCAAATGGTGTAAACCTAGAACTCCGGGAGGCTGAGGCAGGATTGAAAATTTAAGCCTAGCCTGGGTGATTTAGCCAGACTGTCTCAAAATTCAAAAATAAATGGGCTGGGGAGATAGCTCAGTGGAATAAGTGCTTTACAGTCCTGAGTTTGATCCCTGGTACCACAAAAATAAACAAATAAAATAAAGGGCTGGGAGTGTAGCTCAGTATGAAGGCCCTAGTTCAATCCTCAGTACAGGTGGTTAAAAATGCCCAAGTGTTGATTGTAGTTAGGCTTTTACAAATTATGAAGAGCTAAGAAGCTTGGCCTTTCTCCTATAATCACTAAGGAGCCAGTTTTCAGTAGTGAAGAGACTATTTAGATTTTTCAAGCGGGAATTATCACGTCAGTAGCTTCACTGAGGAGCAACGAGTAGGATCAGCTTCCCCTTGCCAGGATGTCGGGTTTACATGCAGGCAACCACGCTGGACCGAAGCCTGCTTTATTCCAGCCAGTATAAAGAAGCAATCAGTTACCCCTTCAGATTCTGGTGCTCAGTCGCAAAGAAAGAGTGTGCAATAAGCTTTGGACAAGGAGACAATGGGCGTCACCAGATTGGTTCAATGTGACCTGCGCTGACCGCTGGATCGCTAAAATGAAGGGCAGCTGACCACATCTACCTGGCCCACTAGAAACGGGCTGCCCAACATGCAACACTTTCCAAAACCAAACCAGTCTCGGCCACTGGCGGCCCAGAGGAGCCATCGCCCGGCCTGCTCTCCCGTTCTGCAGACCCTAGTGCAGACCAGCCAAGAGCTCCAGGCTGCGTAGAAGTAGGCCCCTGTGCTCCAGGAAACAATGATACTGCAGCTCCTTAGCCCCTCCCGCCCGCCGGCCGCCAGCCGCCAGCCGCCGCCCTGAGACAGGTCGCCTCACCTCGAGCGGGCGGCGGGCTCTTCGGCATCTCGGCGGCTCTGCGGACAGTATCTCGACCGTGGCCAAGGCCACAGCCGCTGCCGCCGTCGCCGTCGCCATCATCCTCCCGTATCAGCGTGGTGGCGTCATCACAGCGCGCGCCTGACGCCAAAACAAACCTGGGCCGCCTACGAGGAGATAGATGGGCCACTTCTAGGAGGCTTTCTGGAAGCCCGGCGAGGCTATTGGGCGAGCTGAAAAGCTGCCTACCAATCAACGTCGTGGGGGCGTGGCCTGACGCTCTCCTTGGGGGTGGGCGTATTTGTTGCCCAAAAGGTCTGTGTCCGAGGGCTGTGAAGCTAGGAAAAGGCTGTAGCGCGGAAGGTACTGAGAAAGTTTCAAGTTTCTGCTCGAAAGGTGAGAACCTTTGAGCCTATCAGATGGCTCAGCGGATTATAAGCGCCTGCTTACGCAGATGCAGGAGCAAGGGGTTCGATCTTCGGGCCTGCCGTGCCGTTCCTGACCCCGGGGCGCGCGGAGACCGGGCGAAGAGACTGGGCGTGGTGGCGCGCGCCTGTAATCCAGCGTTTGGGAAACTGTAAACAGGAGGATCACTATAAACAGGATCTGTGTAGTGAGACCCTGTAGGCTCTATACTAAATACATTTAGAAAAGAAAATAAAAAATGATGAGGACCTTTGAAGAATTCAATGAGTTTCAACAGGTTTGTAGAACTAAACTGCTTCTTTCATCAGTGAAATCTGTTATTTTTGTTTTGTTGTTTTTGCTTTGTTTTTTGTTTTGAGACAGGGTCTCACTATGTAGTTCAGGCTGCTCTTGAACTCACTGTATAGCCAGGCTGGCCGCCTACCTCAGCCTCAAGAGGGCTAGTATTTCAAGTATGTACCACTACGCCTGGCCAAAATCTGTTTTTGAAAACTACACTTAAAATAATTTTGGAGCAGGGCATGGTGGCGCACATCTGTAATCACAGCACTAGGTAGACTGAAGCAGGAGGATTTTTGTAAGTTCAGGACCAGCCTAGGTGCATAGTGAGACACTGTCTAGAAAAGACACACACACACACACACACACACACACACACACACAAAGAAAAAAAAATGTATCAAGGCTACAAAGCAAACAGATATTTTGATTACTATTCATACTATTCACAATGACTGTTATGTAGAGTTAGAGTTGTTTCACTCCTTTACAATAAAATTCAAATTTCTGGAGGAAAAGAAAAATACTACAGATGATACAGTCGTAGTAACTTCCTTTCATTTCCCCTTTTGCAGTCCTTTACTTATTCAAGTATTTTTGTTTTGTTTTTGTTTTTATTGGAGACAGGGTCTCTCTGTGTAGCTTAGGCTGGCATTGAACTCACTATGTAGCCTAAACTGGCCTCAGATTCATGATGATCCTCTTGCCTCAGCCTCCCAGTGCTGAGATTATAGGCTTGCACCACCAGGCCCAGATCATTTTTTTTTCTTTTTAATTTATGAAAAGAGCCAGGGATGTAATTCAGTGCAGAAGTCCTGGGTTCAATCTCCAGTATCACAAAAAGTAATTAACTTATTAACTAATGATAGTAAAATATCATTCTGTCTATTTTACATAGTTGGGATTTGTACAAGATTTCATTTAAAGAAAAACAGGCATGGTGGCACATGTGTGTAATCTCAGTACCTGGGAAGCTGAGGCAGGAGGACTGCCATAAATTCAAAGTCAGCCTAGACTAAATGAGACCCTGACTAAAAAA